TGTTCAAGGGTAAAGGGGAATGATGTCTGCGGCTTAATCTCAAATGATTAAAATACACACACACACACAGAGCAAATATAAAGCAACTGGGGCAAAATGTTAACAGTTGGGTGAAGGGTTTATGGGAGTGTCATTTGTACTATCCTTGCAACTTTCTTTAAGTGTGAAATTACATCAAAATAAAAACTTATTAAAAATTAACCCTCTAACAAAGTATTATCAGGTATATAATTATCATGGAGAATGATGGGTATTTTAAAATAGTTTTTACTTTAATTTGTTTTTGCACGAGTAACAAGAATTACAAAGAAATTACTCCTCAATTTAAGAAAAACAAAAATATGGCAAAACTGCAGTCAATTCTGGAAGTTCCCATAGTGGAAAATTTGTTTTATAAAGTATAAGGTGATAAGCAAAAAGCACCCAATAACACTGGTTGAATAAAATAAATGATGGCTTATCTACCCATTGGAGTACTATGTAGCTGTAAAAAAGAAAGGCATACTAAAATATTGACAGATAAGATGATACGATGACTTGAATTTGCCTCATAATCATCTGGAGAGTGGGTGGGGGTGCAGGGAATATGGAACTGGCCATCAGTTGACCATTGCCAAGGCTGGGTAATAAACAAACGGGGCTCATTATCATGTCTGCTCAGTTACTCATGTTTGAATTCTATGATAAAACAAAATCTCCACTTCAAAATAGAAGTGCTCCACATGTTTCCATTGGGATGTCGAAAGAGGCTTTTACTGCCTGAATTCCATCCCCTTGGCAAATATTTATTGAGAGATTCTCTGCCAGGTTCTGTTCTTGGCATGGGGACATAGCAGTGACCAGAAAGATCAAGACCCCCACCTGTGGGGAGAGAGACAAGAGCCAGAGAAATAATAAATAGAAGGGATCAGGCAGCAGAAAATGATATAGAAAAGCAAGGAAAGCAGGGTAAGGGAGGTGAGGGTGCAGGGCGGCAAAGTGGGCATCACCGAGCACCTGGGAAGCCTGGTCCAAGCACCAGGGCAAAGTCAGAGGCCTGTGGTGTGTCCCAGGGCAGCAAGCTACCTGGGGCTGGAGCAGAGAGAGCAGGGGAGAGGGGGAGAGGAGGCCCAGGGCCCAGAGGGCCCAGGAGGACACGGTAAGGCCATCACTGAGCGAAATGGGGAGCCACCGAAGGATTTGGAGCAGGGACAATCTGTCTGACTCAGGTGCTGGGTGAAGAACAGACTGAAGGCAGGTGAGGGTGATGGCAGAGACGGGTTAGTGGCTACCGTAACTTTCCAGGTGAGAGGTGCGGAGCAGTGGGGGACAGACAGACTATGGCCAGGCTCTGCATAGACACTGAAGACAGAGCCAGCAGGGTTTCCAGGCCGTGTAGACAGGGCTGGGAAAGAGAGGAGCTTAAGGATGACTCCAGTTTGGGCCTGAGGAAGCGGACAACAAAGTCGCTTTCAACTGAGCTGGGAGGGCTGTGGTGGGAGCAGGTGTAGAAGCAAAGAGCAGGGGCTCGGGGGCCGCGATGGTTAAGAACTGGCTTGGGACGCCAGAGGGCCTCGGTTTGGATCCCACATATGAGGGCTAGTGACACTGCCCTCCACAGCTAACATGCTGAACAACAGCTCAACCTGGAGCTGAGCTGCCGTGAGTTGCCGGTGACGGCATAGGCTGCAGCCCCTGTGGCAGTGGGTTGCCATGGGCTACCGTATATAGCCAGCAGCCGCTGTGAGCGGCCAGCAGCCGCCATGAGTGGCGGTCCAGAAGCCGGCGACTGATCTGCCTCACCCAGGAAGAGCACAATGATGGTGCCAACTTGGGCCAGTGAAGCAATGTCCTCCACAACTAGACTGAAGAACAAAACGACAGCAACTTGTCTATTCCCCTTCCCCCAATTCCCCAGCACTGTTCCCATCCCCCCAATTCCCCAATAAAAAAAAAAATCTTAAAAAAAAAAAAAAAGAGCAGAGGCTCAGGTGTGGACAGGTTGGGTGCGAGGTGTGATTTTTGTCGCATTAGGATGTTCGCGCGCGCGCGCACACACACGTCTGGAGTCCGGGAAGGGAAGTCAGGGCCGGAGATGTGAATTCTACATACACAACTGAATTGCATCATTTAGCAATAAAATCGGACACTGGCATTAATGCTGACGGCTCATGACGAACTGGGAGCATACAGGTGTGAGCTTGGGTGGAAGGCTTGTTGAAACACAGCACCCTTCCATCCTCATGACCTCAGTAACCCCGCACCACTGCTGATTAAGAGATTCCTGTCGGAGCACTTAACTCCCCCGCTCCGTTCTATTAGAATGTTGTGTCTGATGCGCGTTCAAACAGCAAGATCAAGAATGGCATTAGGCAGAGCAGGGAAGGAAACATGGCAGCTCCCCAGGGCTGGCTTCCAGGACGGCCCAGCACTGGGCGAAGGGGACTTATGGGGAAAAGCTAAGCTACAATGAGGGGATGCCAATTTCCACAAGGCACCCAGGGGCCAGGGGCAGGGACTGTGAGTGAGACCGGATGTGGGGGTCGAGTCCCAGGGAGGAGGCAGCCAAGGCCCAGCTCGGCCAACGCCTGCCCTGCAAGGCTGTGCTCCTGGCATGGCCTTTTTTTTTTTTTCCAGGAAAAGCTTGGATATGAAATTTATGTGAAATCCCCTGAGTTTTATGTGTTTGTAACATATTCCAGTTTTTAAGAAACACGAAGTCAAACAGAACTCAAGCATTGGTCTAATACAGTTCAAGTGGCTGTCCCAGGAGGGTCAAAGGCAAAGGAACCCTCATGGGCCGAGGAATGGCTGGCCCGGGCAATACACAGCCATGGGCCATTATCTGACTTTCACAGACTCTTGTCATTGTCCCAGTGCTGCTCCTGGGGACAGAAAAGTGATGAGCTACTGGCAAAGTGACCCGGGGACTCTGCAGTCGAGGCTGTTAGCTTTCCTTGTTTGCCCTTCTTACCAACGACCCGGCCTGCTCTGCAGCCGGGGGGATGAGAAGATAAAGCAAACACTAGGCAGAGAAGGTGCTGGAAGGAGCTTGGTTGAATGGGCTGAGGGAGGTGGGGATCCTGTGACAGAAATGCAGCGGGGAAAGGGGTGCTGAGGGCCGCAATGGGGTCCTGCTTGCTTTCTGCAAAAAGGGACCAGGTCCCTGGAGGAGCCGGGGGGAGAGAAAAAGGAGTGAAGGGAAGCTACGGGACGTGGCCCTGGAGCTAGAAGTGAAACACCCTGAAGTGCACACATGCTCGTCCCATGGGAGCTGCCGCAAGAATGGTTCCCCAGCTGGCACGGGCGTTCATTCTCAGCCCCTCCACGCTGTGCAATGAGACACTGCTCTGGGCTTGGGGGACCGAGGTAGGGGCAACAGGCACCCCATCCTCACACACGTCACTGTCGTGGGGCAGAGACAGACATGGAT